GCAAGTTAACAGTAATGCAGCTCTTCAAGCACAAGTACAAGTGAAGTGTGATTTACTGGAGACCTCTAACACTTAACAAGATAATCTTTTTAAAGATGGCAATGAACTAGTGATATACAGATGATCCAATATTTTCGTGCAATCAAAAGGAAACATTAATCCATGCTAATAATAATGTACATCAGTTATCCCACAGAAAGTTGCTTAAGCTGTTCTGTGCCCCTGACTACACACTGACATGCTTTAACATGTCAACACTCACCACACCAAATAGAAGTCCTGCCTAAGCCCCAACAGGAAACCAGGGTTCAACACATCATATACACTGAAAAGCTTACAGAAGGAGAAAGGATAAAGGATGGTCCTCAGCAAAGAGAGATGAGTGAGGCAAGACATATGAAGGAGCAGAAGGAACCAATTAAGAGCCTGATAAATTTAGAACTCTTTGCTCAACAAGGAGTGGAAAGCATATTTTATGTATTAACCCATGCCACATTTTTATAAACTGCTGTTATTTTAATGTTAGTATTACACTTGCATACAAACGGTCCTCTTCAGAAAGGAAAAATTCTTTTCCATTTTGTTTTCCTTGAAAGAAGATTATAAACACCAGGCTGAGCACTGATGTTTTCAACACTGGTAGAAGCAGAGCTGTCTAGAGGGATGCTGCAGCTCTTCTTTCAGTGAAATGTGTCACCACTACATGAAAGATAGCTGTGTAATATTCTTTCCATCTAACATTACATCAAGTGATTCACACCAACACTCATTTCTTAAACTTAACCTTTTAGTACAGTTTATGAAATATGGTGCAGTTTTCAAGCAGGATTACTCTCCTTTGAATTTTCTGTAATAAGGCAATACATAAAACTACTTTCCATTGCTTTGCATGTCCCTAGTCTTCCCTAAACCTGGATGAAGAGACAGGAATGGCTTTGTAACATTGGGGCTGCTCCCAGGGACATAACCTGAGGCACAAACCACATGAACAACACAGTTTGACTGCCTCCTTCCCCTTTGCTCCTAAATAAACTCAGTACTCCTCTAGCACTGTCTGTCTGATTCTGCCCACCAGAAGATGCTTCAGAAGAGCGTGAAGAGTGGGCACCTGTGCCACGACCTGCCTCCTGAAAGAGTTTTCCCAGCAAGAGTTTCTGCTGCTTACTGTCCTAAACACTCCTTCTTCCGGGCAAAACGGGCTGCTTTGGTGAGTCTGGCTCCCAGCAGCACTCTGAAGCTCAGTGCAGGTGTGGAAGCTGCAAGAAGGTATTTACAAACTGTGCTTTCTGGATTTGGATCGCTGCTTGAACAGACAGTCGAATATGCTTTGGAGCAGTGCAGAGCAGAAAACTACTTCTAAAACTGTAACTGCAGATCATAGCAATGAAGCAGCTAGACTAAGAATAAACACAGCAAATGTACACTCACCAGAGCCACTATATACACATGTACACACACACCCATACACACACACTTGGCAGTGGCAGCAGCTCAAATATAACTAGACTAAAAGCCATTTCTGAAGACGTTTCTAAGGTTACTCGGTTAAAACTGAGTCATTGCACACTGTTGCATGTCTCATTTGAAATTCAGGATGAAGTCTAAGAATTGCCATTTTTAAAATTTCAAGTTGTTTCATAATCAAATTTGTAGGAAATTAACATAAATAATGCCATCTCCTCAGTTAAGTCTCCGACAGATTATATTTTGGGTCATCTATGTAACTTTTTACTTGATTTTTTTTAAAAAATGGATCTTATCTGAATGTTTTCTCTTTTAAATATCTAAGTCTGGCACTGATACAGTTTGGCTTGTTTAGCACACTGAAACCCAGTAGTATTCATGAACTAGATAGCTCCAGGACAAATTTCTAGTATAATGCAAAAATAATTAAAACAAATGCATCATTTGTGGTTTTAGTAATTACTACAAATACTTATTTTTTTATTGCCAGATATAAAAAAGATTACTTAGTATAACATCATCCCTGTGATGACACATACATGCCAATGCAACTTCACATTAATCACAGTAGGCAAACCATCAATCAGTGCAATGTGACAACTGTTCTCCATTCTTCCTCCTCCTCCTCCTCTCTCTCTCTCTCTCTCAAAAACCCCAAAAAACTTCAACTCATCTTTGGATGTTTTGAACAAGAAACAAAACCACTATTTATTGAACATTAGTTTTTCAAAGTACAGTTGCTTGCTTTCCTTCTCAGTGGGTTTGATTTCTAACACAATGACTGAAAAACTCCTGCAAAAATATAATATACTTAGAGCCCAAATTCCAAACCTATTCTGAGCAAAAATACTTACAGAAGGAAGGAAGAAATTAAGATTACCTCAGTAGTATCTGTAACATCTGATCCTGGCTAACCCTAAAGCATATGTTAATTTTAAGCCTCTGAGTAGTCCATTGGCTTCAGTGAATCCAGTGAAAGTCTAGAAGATTAGTCAGGCACTTAACACTGCTGGCAAATGTGTAACTCTGGGATGGCAGTCAGGCCATGAGGAACGTGCATAAGAATGGCAGTGGAAAATAAGGGGTAGGAGCACACAATAGAAAACCTTTGCAAAAGAATGGATCATGTGAGAGAGCTCCTTTCAAGAACTACTTGAAAGGCATGTCACCACTGTGGAGAAAAAAAAAGAAAAGGTATTTACTAACATACCCTTGCTTACACTGAGTCTTTGAAGTAGCAAAACTTTCTCTCTCCAGGTCTGCCACCTAATACTTACTCAAGTTACACGATTTTCCATTTGTTATAAAATAAAACAACAAGGGGTTTTACATATCTTAAAATCAAATCCCTAAGGGATGAGTGACCCAGTTGATTGTTATGTTTGCTCTGATCAGCCCAGCACTAAGCAAAGTTAGTGCTGCTTTATCAATTTTTACAAACTCAACAGCAAACTCAAATGGTCAATCACTACTTCCCTCCTATAGGAAAATCCACACAATATACACCAGCCATTTCCTAATTAATTCCTAAATGCATGTATCATCTACAGGCTTTTTATTTCACCAAAGCCATAAATCAGTAAATCAGGCAACGCCCTGCAGTAGGCTTTAAAAAGATGCAGGTTATGCAAGATGCAGAAGTCTTACCAAAAGCTTTTATTTAAAAGCAATCCAAGAAAATTAACGTCAGTTCCTTAACTTTCATTCAAAACAAAGTAGAAAATTCTGTTAGGAATGTCTATAGAAGCATTATTGGCCAAGAAGGCCAAAAGAGCCTAAACCCAAGTTTCAACTTGGATCTAGCTCAGGACAAACAGCTTCTGTAGCACTTCAGAGTCATTATGCTGGACCTTAACCCCTAAATAAAAAAGTTTTGGACTAAGCTACCATGACAGACTTGATGCTGCAATGATACAAAGATGCCTTCTTTAAAAAAAACCAAAACCAAACCCCTAACACAATACAAATGTCAATGCTAACAGTCCACAAACAGGAAAAAGTACTTTGCCTGTTAGAAACTTCCCAAAGCAAATACTTCTATCCTAGAATAAAGGTAAGAAAAATCAGGCAAATACTAATAGCTTATAGCCACAGGTATATAAGTTTTAAATCGATTTTTTTTCTCCATTCCCTTGATGCTGACATCAATGATGCTGACATCCATGCCTTTTTAGACTCAAACTCTTGCTATACAACTAAGTTATAAAACTACCTAAAATACAAAGTCTGTGGCAATCCTTAATTTCCACTGTACAAAGGCAGTATTTAATACTTGTGGCCAACAGTGTAATGGACTACAGCAAGAAAAAGTTGTATTAATATAAATGGTAAATAAACCACTTGGTATTCTGAGACTCAGTATTTGCCAACAGGCTTGATACAAGCATCCCGAGATCTTGAATTTCACCTTAATTTAATGATACTGTCACTTTACTCATTCTGAAATTAAAATGTGGTGTTGTATATATATATATAAAGATATAAAGTTCTAAAATTCCTGCCCTTTAAATATGAAAAAAAAAAATCCAGCAAATAGTTCTTACAAGGAGATAGATCAAAACAGTATTTTATTATTAGTTAATTCCATCTGTGTGTTTCGACACACAGGAATTGTATAGGATGCTGACAACAGCTGGAGTGGGGGAGGGGAGGTGGGTGAGAGGAGAAAGGGGGGTGAGGTCCTCACTCCAGTAAGAGACTTGTGTACCTGACTGATAAACTCAGCCTAACTTCTTCATGTATCCTATTTATCTTCAAATCTATTTATGTCACACAAGAGAACATATGAGCATAGCAGCTGTTACTATAGCAATGAAACTGAAAATTTTGAGAACACAAAAAACCCACCCCTGAAGGATGCTCAGTTTAGCAAAGAGATGGTTTAGAGAACAGCGCACCAGTATCTCACTTCTTGGATCTGCTCAAAGTCTGCGTTTACAGAGACATGAAATCAGCTGTAACAGCCTGTTCCCCAAAGAGCACTCGGAGCCAAATCACCGCTACCTCTTAGTCGGCACGACTCGGTACACCGGGAGTTCCTGCTAAGTAACCCCAAACTTGTCAAGTACGCCTGAGCCGCCTGTAAATCCGGGGAAAAGCGATTCCCTGCAAAAGGCTCAGAGGTTCTGATGGCGGCAGAGAAGAGATTCGCCATAGTAACAAACCCCCCACCCGCACCGCGGGTCACAGCGGGGAGCGCGGCGAGCCCCGCACCCCCGGCCGCGCGCACACCTGCCCGGCGCCGGGAGGGCGGCACGGGCCGGGACAACTCAGGTACTTCGCTCAAGCAGCGGCAGGCAGCCTCCCAGCACGGCCCGGGATGAAACCCACCCGCAATTCCCCCAAGTGCCGTTCTCCTGTCAAACGCCCCCCGCTCCCTCCCTCCCGTTCCCGGCCGGCGGCCCTGCCCCCCCGCCTCACGCCGTCCCTCGTCCCTCGCCCCTCGCCGCCCCTCGCCGCCCCCCTCCGCGGGCGCGCCGGCCCCGCGCAGCCCCGGCCTCGCCGCGGACCCGAGGCGCTGCCGGCCGCGGTTTTACCTGCGAGGGAGCCGGGTCTCTGCAGGGTGGCGGTGGCGTACAGCTCCTGGGAGTGCTTGTTGTACTGATCGGCAGCGTGAACAAGCCGCTTGGTAGGCGACAGGGTGGCGTAAGTGCCGATGGTGGAGCTTAACTGGTGGATAGGAGAGGAGGAAATGTTAGACTGGACGGTGGGCGGGGAGGTCACTCGGATGGGGGACGGCGACAGTCCCGCCGAGGAGACGACGATGTTGATGGGCGAGCTGGTGCTGTAGGACTTGGCCAGGCGGCTGGGGGACTGCTTCGGGGAGGAGAGGCGCTGCGCGGTGGCGTAGGCGGCGCCCTCGGCGGCGGAGCCGGCCCGCGGCAGCTTGGTGGGGGAGCCGCCGGGCTGGGCGGGCAGCGGGGAGCTCACCCGCTGCGCCGGCAGCGTGGAGCTGGCGTAGTAGAGCGCGGCGGCGTGCTGGGGCTCGGGCAGGTGGAAGGCGCTGCCGTGGCTGGGCGCGAAGGGCTCCCGCGGCTGCGGGGCGGCGGGCGGCGGCGGCGGCTCCGGGCCGCCCGGGTGGGCGCCGCGGCCCCCCGGGCCCTGCTGCGGGAAGGAAAGGCAGAGGCGTCAGCGGCGGCGGGCGCCCGGCTCCCCCGGCCCTCCGCGGGGCGGTGCGGGCCCGCCGGCCGGAGCAGCCCCCTCGCTGACCTCGAACCAGGCCGGCACCCGGCGCCCGCGGGATTACGGGAGTCGGTAATCTGCTAAAGCATTCCCGGCCTTTCAGGGAAAAAACCAGCCGCCGGCTCGGCCCGAGAGGTGTGGAAACTCCCCCCGACGGCTGAAGCCGGCACCCGGCCGTGGGGCACAGCGCTCCGGGGCGTCGGCTCCGGAATGCGCTCGCCTGCCAACCCCTAAATCAGGCAGGGTTTAGCCCCGGGTCAAATACTTACGTACGTACATACACACAGATAAATACGCCCGCGCCCCTTTATTCTGCATACATTAGAGAAGAGCGGCCGAAGCCTCGGAAAAGCCTTTAATCGAGTAACTTTCCTCGGTTTCCAGCAACCTGTGTCCCTAACGAGGAGAGGCACCGCACCGGGAGCTCCCTGCTCCCCGCGGGCCGCACCTGTGTGAAGGGGCAGAGGGAGGGGAAGCCCGGGCCGGTGCACGCCGAGCCGCCCGCACAGCACGGCACGGCACGGCACAGCGAGCGGCCGCCTCGCACTCAGTTACGCGGCACGAAGGGGGCGGGGGGTACGGGAGGAGCTGCCGGGGCCGGGCGCTTCCCTGGGCCGCATCCAGCGGGGAATCTGCACAGACAAGGAGGGAGAGAGCTCCCTGCGCCGACCCGCTGGCCGCCGGCAAGGGAGCGCTGAGCTCCCTCTAAGACCAGTAATTGAGGGGGGCTGGGATGAGGGAGCGAGAGAAAATCCTCGGGAGATACTGCCTATGAGAAATTTCGGTTCTGTGCCTGAGCCGCTTCTGAAGCCGCAGAGGATGGAGCTTGCCCTTACACACAGGCGGCTCCCCCCCTTTTTTTTTTATCGGGGATCTTAGGCTCAAGAGATCATCTGTGAGTCTGGTAACATTAAAATCCTCTCGTAACTGCACCCCGCAGTGAGGGAGAGTTCAGTGCTCTGTTGGAAGATGTGCTGTTAGATTCAGATACTGTTTTTTTTCTGGTTAGGCAGGGGATTTACTTGAAACCTCAAAAAGTGCTCTGGATCCTCAGAGTTGACAGCATAGTTTGAATCAGTCTGACCGATGCTTTGCCCGAACACATGCACACGCCTCTCAGCTACTGATTTCCTTAGCCAGAAGAAGCTTTAAAATGAGAATGATGAATTTTGTGACTCAATTCAAAGAGGTGTTGTGAATGCCAACAGTAGCATTGTTATACATTGAATAGCAATGTGATTTTCCAGTAGCATCCTACAAAAAAACAAGTGGGCAAAAGCACCATGTTCCTGGTAAGAAATTTGATTTATTTGCACTAGGATACTCAATAAAGGATTTGGTCAGGAACGGAGGACAGCATAACTAATCACAGCAGAAAATAAACAATATTCAAAATGCCAGAAATCTGTACTTCTTCCTATGTACACCCACTGGAAATGTTTGTGGGGTTTTTTTTTACTTTTGGAGCCTGCCCTTCATCTTAAATGCTTTGTGTCTGGAGGAAGAATATGTATTTTCCTAGACAGAGACAAGAAACAAGGCTTTGGAGAAGCTCCTCCTGGAGCTTTGCTCCCAGTTGCTAGTCGCATGGAAGAAGCTACCAGCACTGGCATTGCTCAGGCTTCTTCAGAGAGCACTGCCAGAGCCAAACCTCCCTGGCTGTGCAGCTCACAGAGCAATGACTTTACACATAAATGAAACGTAAACTGTCCCACTCCAGGTGCTCTGTATGGCGAGTGCCAGGTGAGCAAGGGGCTCACAGATGGAAGTAGCTGCTCTCTTTTGAGCTGGACTATTGGGATTGCAGCAGCGAGTGACAAACACCACACCTTCAAGTACAAGTCTTGACATTCTCAAAAATGGTCAGCAAGCTCAAGTTGCTCACTTGAAAGGCTCCTAACAAAAACCAAGAAGGAAAACTGTGGGAACACCAGCAAACTTTTCAAAGCTACTTTCACACTGAGCTACTTACCATATATGCTTTAAAGTGGAAAGAAGGACTAATCTTCAGCTGACTGTCCAATAATGTATTTGACAGGAGTACAGTTTTCATTTTCCAGGTTTAGACTATATGGCAACAACTTTCATTAGACAAAAAAAAAGGTCGATATGATTTAAGACAACATGGGCAGAGCAAATTTTGCACTTAACAAAATGTCATTCAAACTAGCTACATTATCAATTGATATTTGTTAATAAATTTTACTTTTTGGACTGTTAAGTGGCATAATAATAATAATTTTCTAATAAACAGTGCTCCAAAATACAGTCTTTTGCAATGTTACCAGTGCACCAATTACTTCTTCAACACACTGGTAACTTTAACAGTTTGCTGTTGATGCTAAAGGTTTTAGGCAAGTACTGTCATCATGTATACACAATTTCTTTTACTAATCTACTTCTACACTGCTTAATGTGTCAAGGATTTACAGTAATTAATTTCAAGTAAACCAGTATTATCCCATATTCCTAATAAATCTCTATAAAGCTGTGAGCATTCTGCAAGCACTAATTCAAAAAAAACCCAAAAATCCTATTTCCTGATGATTTGTTATAGGGAACAAGGTGTAGTGGTGAGACACAATAATTAAATGCTTAATTAAAAATGCAGTGTATATCACTTCCTAAAAAGCTAAGCATGTGCTCTGTGTGAAGGAGAGAACTTATGGATGAACAGATTGCAATGAAAACACTAGCATGCAGTATTTTCTAGGATGTGACTAATCTCAGACCTGTCTTAAATGCACCGTGAGGTTCTTAGGTTTTTTCAAAGGGCCAAGTGTGCAGTAACATTCTCCACACATCTTTTCAGAGACAAAATGCAGTTTAGTTTTTCATTGTGTTTCTCCCTGTCTCTGGCTTAAGACAGACACAAAGACACATTATTGTTCACCCTGCAATGTGACATACTTTGTATGGAAGAATAAAATACAGTGGTGTTTTTCCCTTATTTTTTCCATTTATCCATTCTTTTTGTCAACCTGATAACAAAACTGTGTTTAAGCTAATAAACTAAGAGCAAATTTGCTTCTCAGTAATTATATTCTCTACCATCATCCTATTTCATAGATGTGAATAAAAATCAAGGACTTTCTTACTACAGCCCTATGAATATCTATTCCAAGACACAGGGGTTTGATTTCCCTGGCATCCCAACAAAAAGTAGCCTTGCTTATTTCGATTCAATATATGGATTCTGGTATATCCTTTTTAGAAACAGGAATGTGTGAAAAAAACATGAGAACATTAACACAGCTATAAAAATATTTTCTTTCCCATTTAATGTTACTAAGAAGATAATTTTCTACTGATTCAAAACAGTATCTTTAGAGCTTCATACAGAAAATTACTGGGGGTATCCAGTTAGGTTATAGGAGACTAGAGAACAGTCTAACTGTTGTTTGCCTGTTCATTCAAGCATTTAATGCCCATAATTCCAGGAAATTAGTTTTTTGGGGGTTGGGTTTTTTTGTGGTTTTTTTGGTCATTTGGTTGTTCTTGTGTGGGGATTCTTTTGTTGTTGTTTGGCTTTTTTGGGGTTTTTTTGTTTTTTTTTTTTTTTGTTTGGTTTTTGTTTGTTTGTTTTTACAATCCAATTGATAACTTAAATTGGAACTTTACCCAAGAAAGAGTAAATAGAAGACTGCAATGTAAGATTTCTGTTCTACAGAGTAGAATCGAGAGGGCCAAATAACTGTGTTGACTTATTTATTCTGCAGAAAATTTTTCATGGATAAGGAATTACAAAATGGCTAGACAGCTTTAAGTGAAACTTTGGGGTCAGCTGCTAATATGAATCAGTGTATTGATTCTTGGAGATTGCTCCCAGAGGTTTGAGTAAGTCTGCATGCCCATCTTAGGTTTGGATGAACTTTAGTTTAGCAGTAAATACCAGTGCCAGTTTTTAGCTCATTTTTCTCTCTGGATCTCTTTGCCTTTATAAATCTCAAATAAGTCACATCTGATGAATACTAACATAGTCATATACAGAGCACCGTTGTCCCTGAGGAGACCCTTTCTCTTGATTTTAGGGAGCATTTTCCAAGTTGAGTAGAAAACCTCCCTCCAGGCCCCTTTGGCTTTTAACTATTGGTGTGTGTTGGTAGCTTTAGGCAGAAAAAATGTTCATCCTGACCAGGGTTTTCTAGAGACATTCCACAGGTGCAGCTCCGTTTCACAGTCTCAGTGATGCTCTGAGCTTTTTCAGAGACTGCTAGACTTGCCAGTCTGTTGAGGGCTCCTTTTCTTCCTGTAAGCCCAAAGAACCTTCCATAAGGCTTCACTCAAGGCATCACTCTGCTGTGGTCCAATGCCTCAATCAACACTCTCACAAAGAGAACAAGAGGGCATGGAAATTGCATAACTTTCTCTAGGCTTGGAATGCACCCTTCAGTCTTTGGCCAGCACCTACAGAAGGGCCTTTCTTCCACAAGACTACTTTAATGTAATTTTTAAGTTCCTGACCTGACTAGAAAGATGCTACCTATGTTCAAATGCTCTTACACAAAAACAGATGCTAGACTACACCTCTGGATCCCTCAAATATGGCCTATTCCATCTCTTTCTCCTGATTTTGTTCCATCGTTCCATTCCAAAATTCCAACACTATTAGGAAAATTTGTCAGCCTACCCGATCCTGCTCTCAAAGGTCATACATATAGATGAAGGTAGGTAATTTTAGTCTTCTACATCCACAAACAGAATGGTGTGAGACCTTCTCAAAGTGTCCAGAGATGGTCCATCTCTGGTTTTAAAGCAGCAGTGAATGCTACAGTCATTACCTACTGCAGAATCAAAGCAGCATTGCAGATTTCCACTGCCATAATCTCTACTAGTGAATTGTTTTCTGAGTGCTGTAATAGGAGTCATCTGTTTTAAGATTTCATCTTGTTTCCTTTATGACAGAAAAATTCTTAGGTTTATATTTGGAATTTGGTTTTAAACACACTGTCATTGGCCATACCTACCAGAAGGGAAATATTTATTTTAGCTTTCGTCTGGGTAGGTTATCACTCAACCTGTTACCTTGTGGCCAGTACACAGATTCTGCTTAAAAACTTAATGCATTCTAGCACTCATTTGCTAGTGAGGTGTGGTGGTCTGACAAACTTGTTTCTAGGGAAAAGGAAACAAGTTAGAACACTAACTGTAAAATGTGTTTTCAAGACTTTTTAATCACCTTTAATTTCCATATACTTTTTTGATTTCAAGGTTTTCCAATTCTGTGCCAGCTTATTCAGTCCAAAAGCATCAGGTGCACAGGATACGGCAACACAGTAGGGATTTACCTGTGTTGCAGCCACAGCCTCTGAAAAGACTTAACATTACCAACAGCTAAACGAGTCCTCATCCAGAACCTAAACTTCCTTTCCTGTCCCCTTGCAAACACATGGCAGAGCATGCAGAAAACTATTTACTACATGCTGTACTTTATACTCCTTTGGTATCTCTGCATCATAGGATGATCATTCTCCAAGTTGCACTAAGCCTGGTTGGACACTGAGTTTGAAAAGCAGTTTTCAGTGGGGAAGCAGAGTAATTCCCTGCTAGAGGAGCAGTTTTTGCTAAGAAATGTGTCCCGGTAGTATTTAGAAGATTAAAGTTTTATGTTCAAAAGTAGGCAAAGCACTGGAAAAACTCTGATCTATACTGAACTCCACCAAATTGACAAAAATGTTAGATTGCACTTTGCAACACTATACAGGAAGTCCCAAGACTAATTAGTTTCTCTTTTTTATACAATTGCATTTTCACAAATTGTTCTTGCTGTCACAGCTGGCCTTGGGACTATTTACATTTTTTTTTTGCAAGCATTTGGACTATCATTCATGTTGAGAGATAGCTATATTCCTTGAACAAATACCAAAGGAAATTATCACAATCTGAGAAGCTTCAGCTCCTGAGGCTTATTTTAATTATAATAGGTATAGCAAAACAATTCTTAGGATTGACTTCTTTTTCCCCCTGTAATTGTGGGATCAGCAATGGTCATATTCAGAATTTTTTAATTTTGACTTTTGAATTTTCCTCTTCCTGTTTACCTCTATTAAAACCCCTTTTACATACTTTTAATGGTATTAATTAATAGTTTATGTGGCAGTTTGTAAGTATTTTCAAAATATATATAAATTCATCTGAAGTTGTCAGGCATCTTTTGCAGTGTCATGGTGTGAAAAATTAAGTTCTCTGAATTATTCTTCTGCAGGAATATCTATCCTACAATGTGTATGAAAAAAAAAAGAACATCTATTTTCTGTCCTCTCATACCAAGAAAAACAAAGGATAGGGAATGTTGCCTTACTAATTACCTTTCTGAAGGAAACCAGTTCTCTCTGAAGTGAGGGTTCATGAGAGCTTCTCAGATCAAAGCAATGTCTGACCAGTGTAATTCCAATGAAAAAAAAATTCCCCCTACATAAATTCATCTTTTTCTATCAATGAGTATAATAGAATTTTTATTAAGAATATATCTATTTCTAACCTTTACAAATCTGCATGATTTTCCTTCCTGCCTTTAAAAAAAAAATTCTTTCTCCTTCCCCTCTCACTTCTACTTTTTGTTTCTGTTGCTCCCATAACCTGCTCCATTTCCATCATCTTATTTTTCCAGCCTCCTTAAAGACTGCATCACAGTCTTTCAGGCTAACCCCCAGGGTAAGATACTTTTCAAAAAGCAGAACTCCACATGATGCTATTTTCCACAAGATGCACCTGGAGAAGATGGCAGCCCATGGCATGGCTGGGTGCACTCTTCATTAGGTAAAAACCTGGCTGGGTGACTGGGCCTAGGGAATGGTGGTGAAAGGTTGGTGTGGCATCAAGGGGATGGCCTGCCACAAGTGGAATTCCCCAGGGATCTCTGTTGTTTGATATCTTCAACAATGACCTGGCCAAGGGGATGGAGTACACCCTCAACCAGTTTGCAGAAATAAACCAAGCTGGCTGGGAGTGTTGATCTGCTGGAGGGTAGGCAGGCTCTGCAGAGGGATCTGGGCAGGCAGGATTGATGGGCCAGGGCCAGCTGCACCAGGTTCAACAAGCTGAAGTGCCACGTCCTGCACTTTGGCCACAACAGCCTCATGCAGCTCCACAACATGGGGGAAGAGTGGCTGGGAAGTTGCCCATGGAAAAGGACATGGGGGCACTGATACAACTGAACATGAGCCATTATAAGCCCAGGTTGCCAAGAAGGCCGATGGCACCCTGGCCTGGAGCAGCAATGGTGTGGCCAGCAGGAGCAGGGCAGTGATCATCATCCTGCACTCAGCACTGCTGAGGCCACACCTCAGATCCTGTGTCCAGCTTTGCACCTCTCAATGCAAGAAAGACATTGAGGTGCTGGAGCATGTCCAGAGAAGGGCAGCAGAGCTGGTGAAGGGTCTGGAGCAGCTGAGGGAGCTGAGGTTGTTTAGCCTGGAGAAAAAGAGGCTCACGGGAGACCTCATTGCTCTCTACACCTGCCAGAAAGGAGACTGTAGCCATGTGGAGGTCAGTCCCTTTTCCCAGGCAACCACCAACAGGAAAAGTGGAAATGGTCTCAAGCTGCACCAGGTGAGGTTCAGGTTGGACATCAGGAAGAATTTTTTTCACTGAAAGGGTTGTCAAGTCACCATCCCTGAGGGTCTGTGGCACTTGGGGACATGATTCACTGATGGCCAGTGCTGGGTTAGTATTTGGACTCTGTTCTTACCTACACAATTTGAAATTTAATTTAACTGTGCTTTATTTCATTTTTCAGTCTTAGGGAATAGAGAGCTTTTCTGAGAAAATTGAGAGAATAGAATACTGTATGTCTCTCAGCATCTCACAAACTGTGCAAATGACTCTAATATTTGAAATCTCTTAGCAATTTTAGGCTTTGAAATTCAAATAACTACTCTCTTCTACAGAATCCTGAACTGCAAAATGTCCTGGTATCACACTGAGATGATCTGCTTTGCTAGGATGGTTAGCATCTAAACAGAGAAAATAACCAGTGCTGATCGACACAACCCAGTTAGACTTTTAGGTACAGAAGCATGAACACATCTTGTCTAAAGTGAAGCTTAACTTTCTCCTGAGAGGCTTTGATGTCACAGTGAAAAGCACAGAAGGTGAGAGGGTTACAGGTCAGAGCCAGGAGAGATGGTTTAGACAGGCAGAGGGATTTACAAAGTTTTCATGTGTATCTGAGACAATCTTTCAAAATGTTTCAAAAGTAAAGGCCACAGTCCTACAATATGTAGTGAAAAAACTGTTTCCTACACTTGAGATGAGGGCATAGCACCATGTGATGCCTGGTATTCCAGGCAGATTTCACATCTGGTGTCAGCCAGGCTTTGTTTGTTTCCTGGCACTTACTGCTTTCAGTAATGTGGCAATACTGGCAGGTCCTAGACTTTAGGATGGACTCATAATCAGCACAGGCACAGAAATTTGCTTTGAAAACTAAATGCTTGAACATGCTGATACCAAAATATATATACGCAAGCAAATAAATTAATCTGGTATGCAGATCTCCTTGTTAATCAGGATTACTTTATCACTATGTAAGTCAACCCACCGGAGATTTACAAAAATCAAGATGGCAACTCCACCCTGCTGCAGGTGTGTTGAACAAGACAGAAAGTAAAGGCAGAAATGCAGGTGTGGGAAGCAGCAAACAGCTCTTTCCTGGGAGCTCCTCCACACAATTTCAGGAGTGAGAGACCACAGTTGCTCAGGACACGTACCTGGCTGTAGCTCTGGATGGCACCTCTGGCCTGACTGCTGCGGGACGGGAGCTGGGCAGAAGCTGTTTCACCCAGGGCGAGGGTCTGGTTGCTGTGGTAGCTGGCTGAATACTGGAAGGATCCTTCAGGTTTGGAATTGAGCTGGAGTGCACTCTGGGAGAGGAGGCTGGGCCCTGTGGGAACAGGATTTGAGAGCAGTCAGAAAGCCTCAGTGAAAGAGCATACCTGTATTATCTGTCAAGTGAGTCTTGAAATTATTATCGGGCTTCAGATTTTCAGAATTTGACTTTTCAGTAATTAAAATACATGCATTACTTTGTTTCCTTACCACTCAGTCATCATGTTCAAACAACAGACCACATTGCTTTCTTTGTAAGAAATGTATCATTTTGACTGGTGAAGAAATTCTATGCCTGAACAAATCCAACCATACTATTTGGTAGAGAACTCCTGCTTTTCAACTCAGAATAGCTGATGAGGATTTTTCCCCCTAAGGATAAGCCTTGTTTATTTCTCTTAATTATATCCAGTCATTCTGCCTGGGAAATGCTAACTTGTCCCTCCCTGAGCCCCCAGCACATTAGATCTATTGATTACTGCCACTGTCCTGTACACAGAGTGATGTAATACTTTGGTGCCTGTAGGGATGGATGGCAGCCTTTAAAATATTAATTGCTCTTCTCATCATGTAGGACACACCCTGATCTCAGTGAACCTTTGATAACTATTTTTCAGCTATCTTATCTTCCCCACCACAGCACTGCATAGCAGGAGAGCCAAGTACAGGCAGCGAGCCTGAACTGGGGCTGCCAGACTGAAGGGCATGTCAGGACCATGAACACTTTCCACAGTTATTTAGTAGTTCTGTGAAACTAAAACATGTCCTAATCTTCATTAGGTTCACCTGAAAGTGATTTAGCTTATCACATGCACATAGCAAATTTCCCAATTTTTCCACACAGGAATCAAGTGCACCTGCAGCAAATTTGAAGATGACACCAAGCTGAGTGGTGCAGTTGCCACACCTGAAGGATGGGATAGCATCCAGAGGGACCTGGACAAGCTTGAGAAGTGGGTGCATGGGAATCTCATGATGTTTAACAAGACCAAGTGCAAGGTGCTGCTCCTGGATCAGGGGTAAATCCTGGTATCAGCCCAGGCTGGAGGATGAACAGATCCAGAGCAGCCCTGCCCAGAAGGACTTTGGGGTGCTGGTGAGGCTGGACATGACCCAGCCATGGGCACTCCCAGCCCAGAGAGCCAAACATGTCCTGGGCTGCATCAAAAGCAGTGTGGGCAGCAGTGAGGGAGGGGATTCTGCCCCTCTGCTCTGCTCTGGTGACATCCCAACTGCAGTGCTGCATCCAGCTCTGGGCATCCCAGCACAGGAAGAACATCTGTTGGAGCAAGTCCAGAGGAGGGCCACTAATTTAGATGGAGCACCTCTCCTATGATGAAAGGCTAAGAGAATTGGGATTGTTCAATCTGGAAAAGTAGAGGGTTTAGGGTGACCTAACTGTGGGCTTCCAACCACCTGAAGGGAACCTACAAGAAAGATGGAGAGAGACTTTTTATAAGGGCATGTAGTGGCAGCACAATGGCTTCACATTGACAGAGTAGCTTTAAATTAGCTGTTAGGAAGAAAATCTTCCCTGTGGTGGTGAGGCAATGGCACAAGTTGTTCAGAGAAGATGTGGATAACTCATCTCTGCAAGGGTTCAAGGCCAGGTGGGATGGAGCCCTGAGCAACCCAGTCTAAATGGAGATGTCCTGATCCACAGCTGTGGGCTTGGAACTAGATGAGCCTAAAGATTCTCTCTGACCCAAGCCATTCTGTCATTCTACACACAGAGAGCTACATTAAAGAATACACACTTAATCCTCTCTCTGTCTTCACTGATACTATTCTCTTTCAGTGTCTGGGCCCAGGAAGTGAAATACAAGAGGAGGAAAAAGGGTTGTACCTTGGCCATGGCACAGGTTACCTTCAACCCAACAGCTGTCATGTGTAGCACGCTCAGTGGCTCCCCAGGGATGACAGGTTCATCCTTTGGTTAGCACTAACAAGCTCGTGAGAGCACAGAAGGTAACACAAGCCTTAAGAGATGTGAAATGATTACAGTGATTTTGCTCCTACAGAACATGTGGTAAGTTCAGTTTTAAACAGACTCACAATGGAAAAATTCCAATGAATTTACCAGAAATAACATCCAGTACATTCCTGATACAAAGGCAGTTTTTATGACCTTTAAATCTTTGCTATGAGGATGTAAAGCTGTTCCAAAATGATTTCCACTTAGAAAACATGCAAACAACCCCACCCCCGAATTACACAGAGAGTATTTTTTCCTCTAGCCCATTTCTCAGAAATGGCAGAACCATTAGAACTGCTATTTTCCAAATCCAACCTGGACTGCTTGTATTATAAACAAATTGTAGTAGGCTATGTAAAGAGGAAGTGCTCCCATCTAAATGCAGACTGGGATTTTGATACTATTTTACACATCAACACAATTTATACTGCAAAATCAATGGCATTCATCAGAACATTTGACATACAGGACAAATTGAGAATGTAAGTTCTGGTCCCTGGATTTTCCTTACAAGTACAGAAGGAGGTAGAGCCCTGTGTATGGTGTGAGGCCAGTAAAAATGTATCACATCCACAGGAGAGCTGAATTTAATCCTCTATGGGTAAGGCTTGTAAATCCAGCCTTTGGTATTTTCCATTCCCTGGCTCTGCAAATAGGGTTTATTTAGCGCTTTCCATTTAAATGGTTTTGTTGCAAAATTTCTTCTTTATTAAAGAAATACTTTCACTTTTTTTTTTTTTTTTATTTTAAGACCATAAAGAAAATACATGCTTAGTTCTAAAAAGATCTGTAGGGTTTATTTCAATCTCGTGGATTTTGAATTTTCACGGATAATTTTTCTGTGATCAAGTGATGAACAAGATCAAGTTCAGAAATTTCACAAAGCCATAAGTTTCCCATGAGAAGCAAAAGTTGCAAGAAGAAAGAATTTTTTGTGCATGAAAGTGTTTGTACTCATTCTGAAAGTAATTATGCTGTGACATTTCTAAAGCTTAAATAATGATTAAACTATCACATGCTATGAATGCAATATGTTTAAATTTTCATTGCATCTGGCTTTCAAGTGCTGCTTTCATATTACTGTGGCTCACTAGGGGATTTACATTGCCAGCTAGAAACACATACATGGGTTCCCTGCACCATTTAGTTTAAACACTTCCATGCATTTAAAGAAACTTATCCAACCTCTTAAAAAAAGAATGTTAAAAGTTTGGCACACATAGTTTGAAGTTCACTAAAATACTGGTTTTATTTAGCAGTTTTTATTTTTTACCTTAACAAGCAGTAATAAACAATTAAAATGAACATACATTTCAATAATTACAAAGTAATTTCAGAGAGACAGATATATATTTTAAATAAGCCTAGAATTTTAAAGAAGCCCAAGCAAGTGTAGAATAGAGTAGTGGTTGCTCACCTGTAAATAGCAAAGCCCTAAATCAAGCATACAAACTAGAAGATACATTTGAGATCAATTGAAATGACCATAAGAAAACACGAGTTTGTTTTTTAGGGACTACAAGCAGTCCTCCCTTGTCTGATAGGGAAAAGATGGATTGCTTTTCTCATTAATATTCTTGAGATTTCAATCTGAAGGTAAAACCAAACCTTCTGAAGAGCCTGCAGTTCACTCAGAAGAGAAGTTTGTTTTGTGTCCTGTACACTGATGGCTCTTGACAACAATCTATCATTTCTTCCAGGCTAGAACTTAAACTCTGTTCATCCAACTGTTTTTCATTTGCTTTCAGAAGAGTTAAGGCAGCTGGAAATTCTCAATTTTCAGCTATGCACTGGAAATCACTAGTTAACTGCTAGCACAATTCAGTCTTACTGGTTCCCTTAATGAGACATAATTACTGCAATTGTTCCATTTAAAACAAACACTTTGGGCTTCATAAGATTTGGTGTAGCAGATATCAATGACCTGTAGTATTGCTTTAAAATTTTGTACTGTTTGGTTTCCATTTGAGTCAATGGGGAAGACATACATACCTGTCCTCCCTTATGCTTTCACCACCACATTAAAAAAAAATCCTTGTGAAAGAATATTGATGTTGGATTATTCAGGGTTGATAGTACCAATTTTTCACTGATTCAGTTTGTGCCACTCTCCTCCTTTATTGAAATGGTAGAGGTAAGAATGAAAATTCAGGAAACTGAGTCAGAGCCATCATACTGCAAGAGACACCTCTGTGGACTCACTTTGAATGATGGAGCAGGGTAGAGCAATCAACTCTTTACCTTGTCTCCAGTTTGGAGGACAGATACTGCAGACAATACCTTCCTCTTCCTCTTATCCTTGAGCAGAGCAGTGTGCAAGCCTCCCTAGGTTGCTCCCCTTGGCCTCTGTAACCCAGCTCAGAAAGGAGCTGGAAGGAGAGGGAGAGGGTGGTGTCTTGCTTGGGACACAAAGTGCACTAGAGTGGGGGAAAGCTGCTGGAGCACAGAGAAGACCAGGCAAGAAGAGAACAGATGTAGCTGGAGGATATGCTTACATCAGGGAGCCAACCCACAAAGAAACTTCAGAGGTGATGGACAGCAGAGGACTTTTCGAGGATCAGAGAAGGGAAACTGGAATTTCTTCTGTGGTTTAGAAGTCCAGGTGCTGGCAGGCACTGACAGGGTTAGAGGAAAATGACTCTCCCATTCAGGCAGTGAGGAGAGGGGGCTTTGTGTGAAGCCCTTTCCCTTAGTTTACATTACCCACCCCTCTTGCTGCCAGTTATGCTGGTTATTACAAGGCTATTATTTTTTGTATTTCAAAACTTACTAGTTCCAGAGATGTGGAGGACCTGAGTGTACCTTGCACACCTCAAGCCACATGGACAAGAGGAGCAGAGGCAGTGCCCTCTTACTAAAGAGAGCAGCACTGAAGCCCATATTTGCCATCTTCCTGCCACACTGCATTTGCCAAAGCAGTCTGAGACTGCACTGACCAGCCCGGTTCTGGGCACTGAAAACTCTGCATTGGCCATCAGTGTAACCTGGTGAGCTCCAGGCTCCAGACAAACCACAGCAGAGGGAACTTCCACAGCATCTGCCTGCTGCTGCCACGGGGAACTGGGGGAAGCAGGAGGCCG